TCAAATGCTTCGACTTTGGAATAGACATGTGAAGATGTCTGATCAGAGACTAACTAAAAAGGTATTTAATTGGGACATTTTACATGGCCATCCCTGGGCTAAGGGTTTGAGATCTCTGTCTTTGATATGAACGATTTGTTATTCATTTTGCAGAACAGATTACTTAATGATATTCAGGAACTTTTAAGTATAACTTAAACAAAAGACAAAGATGTGCATGACAAGAAAATAAAGATATCTATCTATCTATTGCAGAATCATCAAGAACTCCACTAACCATTTAGATGAAAAGTGATTCTGTATGCCGCTCAAAAAACAACAAAAGAAAAAATAGAAATGAGCTTTCTCCTGTTGGGACTGTGTACCTAATATAGCCACAAATGACCCACATGCCTGCTCTTTTTGTGAAACACAAATAACACATAATGCCGTTTTCTGTGTAAAGCTATTAAATAGATACCAATATATTTGATAATGAAGTAATCTCTTCAATTCCTAGGCTTGAAAGATCTGTTTGAATATTTTCTTCATCCAGATGATCAGAAGAGTCTTTGAGCCTCAAAAAGGGAATTCTGAAAATGCATTGAGAACAGTAGTAAATTATAATAAACAACCTTCTGAAGTTTTTCAGATATTGTATTAATTTTTCAGAAAATCGGCTTCTCTGTGTGACCTGAATGTAATACAGGAGAGGCTCCAGCTGGGGCTGAGGGAGGAGGAATGCGTGTCGCAGCCAATAACCATCCATCGTGTTCTAGAAGTGGGATTTTCACACAACATGAATTGGAAAGAAATAGGTGCTTTGCAGGTTAAGAATTTATTTAATTTATAATTAATAATTTCACAAATATAATGTATTACTATGGATTAAACATTTTTCATAGTGAGCACTTTTAATGTGCTATATTTTAACTTTAATAAAAGGTTTTGAATACTTCCGCGACTGTTTTGCAGTACTTGGGCCTCTTCCACTTTTATTATGCAATACTCTTCGCCTCCTGGTGATATGCTCCAGAAATGCAAAGGCCTAAAACACTGTATTTCACAATGTTGGCTCACTCTGTCGGTCTTCCCTAACTGATTGTTCAGTTGTTTTCTATTATATTTTTGTGACTGTTATTGTTATATATTTCACTTTCCGCCATAAGACTCTCATATATAACTAGAATGAAACACAGTGAGCGATATTAACAAGAGTGTTGTATTTGCACCTTTTAGGTGAGAAATGCATTTCTGTATTTCTTAAACATTGGGTGGAATACCTCTTCAGAAAAAGAAAGCTCATTCAGACTATTTACATATAATACTTCTTAATATGCAACTTTTTTGTTGATAAATGATTGCAGAGAAGAATGTGCGGGTTAATACTAAATCGTCTCAAATGTGAAGACGACACAGCAAATAGCACGAGGCAGCAATGACCTATTTCTGCCCCAGGTGAGATACTACACTGTACTAAAAACCTACAGGGTGGAGCTGTGTACACATTATTGTCTTCACTTATGTGTCTAATATAATAGCGTGAAGCTGATATGTGTCTACGGTGACGTACGGTGTGAGTGGGTCGCCAGCGTTTGTATTGTGTTTACCTGTGTGGAGGACACCTGACACCTGCAGAGAGGTTAAGCCTGTTCCCTCCTGTGTGTGTGTGTGTGTGGGTGTTTGGGTGACAGCCGTGGTGCTGAGGAGCTGAGGATGATAGGATTGCTTTCTTGTTTAAACAGCCACTAGCTATGGGCATGTGTGACTGTGTGTGTGCTGTTACAATATGTGCAGGGATGCAATGTTGAAAAGAACAACAAGTGTGCAGAAGGGAGACACACAGGTGACGGGCAAAAATGAAAGAATGCACCAGCAGTTGTGTTTTTATAGATGCTCTTCTGCAAACCTCTCTGCCCAGAAAAATTCAGGATCGAATTAAATGTTAAAGATATATGATCCTCCAGAATAGAAAACAATTGCAATCCTGTGCCATTTTCTGGATGTTTCCTGTAACCTTTGGCTGTTAAAAACATCTCAAACATATTGAAACATGTAGAAGAGAGCCAGAAAAGGTGTGGTTGTGTCTGTGTGTGTGTGTGTGTGTGTGTGTGTGTGTGTGTGTGTGCATGCTTGTCTGCTGGTAAAGAATCCGATGAGGAATAATCAGAAAGCAAAAGAGAGAGAGAGAGTCCATTGTACAGCCTTACAATGAGTCATCATCAGCTCAACATACAGATTCCATCCATCCCTCTCCTGCCTGCACAACACTTTACTTGTATGGGTTCTGGAGAGTATGCACACATTACGTTATAACTCTGGGGAATGTGTATGAGCGTGTGCACGTTGCGCGTGTGCAAACGGGAATGTGTGCAACCGAGAATCACTGAGAGTAATTACGGGAATTTTTGTCCATGGTGACCCGCTATTGTCACACAGCAACACGAGCGTCCTGAGGCTTTTCCAAAGAATCCACATAGCCCTCCTACCTGCTGTCTGCTCTGGGAACATGTAAGGCCTACAATGAAGGCTCAAGCAGCATCACAGTAATTGGTTAAATTGTAATCTAACTTTGGAGCTTAACTGTGAAACATACATGCCAGTCAGTGAAAAGTGACAGAAGCTCTCTGTAAATCTTTTCTGGAGGCTTTGGCGAAGTGTCCCCCTTTTAGTTCTATTTATATTTAAAGTCAATTGGAATTTTGAATTATCTTCACTTGGTAATAAATGTTTTACTGATAAAACTGTAGACCCGTGCTGCAGGGAGACACGCTCCATTTCCACGGTTTCAACAAGTATACATGTGGTTTCAGCTCTCAAATATTCAGAGGACCCATCAAGCTGCTATGCTTATATTATTGAAACTAGCACGCTAGGCTAACCTGCTCACACTGGAGATGAAGCTTGTTATCACTGAGTTCGACCAGACGTTACTTTTTGTGGGTATAATTTAGTCAGCAGCTCTCACACTCGGTTCTGTGTTTGTCCCACATTAGTTTGGCTTAAATCTGCATATCTCCATGCTTAATGTCACAGAGGGTCACTTGGGCAGCACAAGTGCTCCCTCTGACTGACCAACGGGCCACCCCTGCCCTAACAGAGTCTGTGTGTCTGTGTTCTATACCTAGTACGTCATTAATTGTAGGCACAAGCTCACATTTACCCAAGATGTAAAGATTTAAAAACGTTGAATGGAAAACTTTACATCAGGTTGGTTGGATGGAGTTTAATTTATTCCAGCAGTGATGGCAGTCTCGTGTTGTGGCCACTTGGAAAATGCAAAGAACTATGTGCTGCATAGCAACCCTAGACAATGCCCTCTTCATTACCTCGTGCCCGTCCTAACTAACTGTCTCCTTGTGACCCCACAAAACAATCCCATCCCGTCGCACTGGTGACATCGGACCACTGAGGACGGGGGACAAACAAAGAACCTGACGTCCTGAGCTCATGATGTGAACTTGATCAGGTTTTAAACGGATCACAGCAGACCTTTGCACGTTGGATGACTGTTGAGGTTTCAGTCAAGTGTTGACATATCAGTTATCAGTTATGTGCAGGTGGAGAGCCTCGATGGGAGAGTTGTTTGCTGACTCAGCCCTAGAGTCAGATATGCCTTTAGAGATGGGTGTGACATTGTATACACACAGGCCTTTCACACATTCAGCTGGAAATGAATACAAGTTGACTAGACTATTCTTGGCCTAGCACAGTGACTTCCTGGAGTCTCGTTGTTACCTTGGTGGCAGGTTTTTTCCCTTTGGACAGAGACAGACTAGCTGTTTTCCCTGTTTGTAGTCTTTGTGCTAAGCTAAGCGAAGCTAAGCTAACCTGTTGCTGGCTGTAGCCTCATATTTACCAAACATACATGAGAGTGGTATCAATCTTTTTGTCCGACTCTTGGCAAGAAAGCTAAACAAATTCAACAAGCCAAACTATTCCTCAAACAACAACTTAAAAAACACAGAACTAATAGTCAAAACCACCTGAAAGCGTGACAATTCAAAGAGGTAAAATGCTGGGACAGAAAGCAGGAGGGTTGGGGTCGTTGTAAAGTCTCGAGCACTCCGATGTTCTTGTGAATAAGAACGACTGCAGAAAATTACGTGAAAGAAATGACGTGCAACAGCTGGTGGTGCTTGACGGGGAGAGGACAGAGGTCAGAACTTTGATTGCAGAGAATCAGGGGGAAGGAAACAAAAGGGACAGAAATTCTCTTCTTCCAATATGTTACTTGATTGCTCTAGACTTTGTACGCCTTGCAAAGCGTGTGTAATCTAACAGGTGATGTCTCACATTTGGGGCAGCAGTTGAGAAGAAGAACTGTTTTTATTATGATGAGCTGTGATAGCAGCCAAGAAAAGAGTGCCATCTAGAGAAACACAGACTTTAAGAGCGGAGAATCCAAACTGACCTCTCAGTGCTGTTCTAGGCGTTGCAGAAACACCACAACAATAAAAAAAGTATTCCCAGGTGATAAAAAAAGCAAATTAAGAAGTCAATGGTTATACAAATACAGGAAAAGTACTACTCTTCTTGGATCTGTAATACCAATGGAAATGTGGAAAAAGGGGAATATAGCTAAAATCATGACAAGTATGTGCAAAACCTCATATTCATTGTTCCTTTTCACTTCTCCATTTCTCTTTTATCCATGCGTCCCCTCTTGGTCCTTTTCACCATTCTTTCCAACCATTCATGATTTTTCATCCCATTTCATCCTCTTAATTTCCTTTCGTCTGACCTCGGCGGTTTGTTTTCTTGTCTCCTGCTCAGTCTGTCTGCCATGTGAGGAAACACAGACTTTTAAACTTCCTTTTGACTTCCTCTCCGACCGCCATCATTATTTTTTTATAGCTACTTTTCCCCCTAGGCGAGGCCTAAACTCCTGTCACCAATCCATTCATGTGTCACGCACACACACACACATACACACACACACACACACACACACACACACACACACACACACCTCCCATTATGTTAAATCCCAAACCACACCCAGCTCCAGCCCTCCCTCGCGCGCTCACGACAGCCTGTCCAGAGAACGTGCGCATAGAACAAACTTTTTGGGGGGAGACTAGCTCAGCTCCAGCTGCCGTTTCGTCACGTTTGGAGGCTTTTTGTTCTCCCAATTTATTGTTCCCTGATTTCCCTTCTAACATTCACACACAGTCACATCTGGAACTCCACACTCTTTGCTTCATTCTCGGACCAAAACCCGGTGAGTAAACTGCGTTTTATTAGTTTGCATATTGTTTGAATGCTCGGAACCTTCTCTACGGGATTCAAGTCCCATTTAAATTCCATGTGGCCGCGATATGCCTCTTTAATATACCAATTACACTATTAAAGTGTCTTCTGGTGAGTTTTAGCCCAACTGTCCTTATTTACTGCTGTGGAATATTTAAAGCCTAAAATATTTCTAAAATAATTGGTGCTCTGCCTCGATATTTTCAGGCTATTTAAAGCGCAGAGCAGGTGTATTTAGTTTCATCACAGATCAGTTTTAAGGAGTCGTTGTTACCTTATTTTGTTTTTTTTAAACGGATCGTGGCTCCAGGTCTCAGACATTGGAAATGAAAGGGGCGTTGTCAGCCGTCAATGTGCGTGTGCGTGTGTCTGAGTGCTGTGAATGAGCCGCGTGTGTTTCGAGGTAAACTGCTATTTGTTTCACAGGGAGCAGGAAGTGTGCGCGCGTGTGTCATAGGTACTTTAAGTGTGTCTGTGGAATAATAGACATTAGACTGTTCTCTGGATATGGTGCGCCTGCTTTGGCTCGGCAAGCTTGCACATAAGGTAACGCCACATTACTACTGAACCATGAACTTGGGCGTATAACCATGTCGCATTGAAATCATTGTGTTTTGATAGTGTTTGAATTGTATTAAAAAGTGTACAGTGTAGCCTAAGCGTGTTATATAACTGAACAGCATCAGATGATCATACGTTTAAAATCTGTTCAGGTCCCTTGTAAGTGCGTTATTGCACTATGATACCGCCGCATTGTTGATTTGAGTCTTACTTTTGCTGAGGCAGGTGATTACGGTTGGATTCACCCGTCAGGGTGGCGCCCTCTTGTGGTTGAACTCGGTCCAGGTTTTTTCATACTGGGCTGCAGAAATGGAGATCCTCATCAGGCCATGTCTGCATGTCTGAGGACATCTCTGCCATTATGGCGATGATCTGGAGATTCGATGTCACATGAAGTGTGAAGGCATAGCTATAATATGCAACAATCTATTAGAAACAAATCCCCCCTGTTGACATGCAGTTATGAATTGTCATTTGGACACCTTGAAGTTATGAAACAAAAATCAATACTTGATAAAATATAACTGAAGAATGAATAGAAAGCCAGTCTTAATTATACCATCTTTCCGTCCCTTCTCTCAGCTTTTAATTTAGTTTATTGAGCCCCGCAGTCACCAAACATACTAATGTGTTAGACAACCACAAACAAACAGCTGAATGAATGGCAGTTAAAACGTGCAGGATGTACTGTGGTAGCTTCCCCCCCCCACCAGATTCTAGATGGCTGCGAGGTTTTTAAAAAGGCGCTGATAGATGAAAACTATCAGGGAACAAGTGTGAAGTGACTGAGTAGAAGAGAAGGAAAAGGGAAGAGTCATTACTCAGCACTGCCACTTTAGGAATGTGTGTGAAAACCTATAAACACACACACACACACACACCTAACAAAGCATGTTGGTGTCCAACATGAAAGAATTCCTGCATCAGAGGGAAGTCTTTTTAAAGTTTAAACCCAGCAGGAAAACCGTTGTGTGTCGGTGTGCACATTTGTCATTTAGTTAAATTTCTGATTCCTGAAGGTGGCATGTCGTACACACACACACACACACACACACACGCACGCACGCACGCGCGCGCGCGCGCGCGCACACACCGTACTGCTTTGCAACCAATATAGGCTTCATTGTGCAGAACGATTCTCCCTTCTCTCCCGGTATTCAACAAGCATATATAGCTCAAATATTTAGTATTTACTAAAGCCAATGTTTTATAACTTGATATGAATAATTTAGAAGGACTGACAGATTATGAGTTCTAAGAAAATATCATGGGAATGTCAAGTTATTAGGCTTGTGTTATCAGTAATAAAACAGTCTCATGACCATTATGAATGAGCGCTGTGAATGCATCATTTGTTTGCACTTTATAATCAATTTTCCAAATGCTGAATTTCGACCATACCCCCTTTAGCAAGGACGATCCACTCTTGACGTGTTTAGAGTGTGGATATGAGGAAGAAAGTGAATGTCCTGATAAAATGATCAGCTTCACAAAATGCCCCACATGTGGGATTTCAGGATGATGAACCTAATGTTTGGTTTTCAGCTCCAGCCAAACATTACATGCTAACTGTTAGCAACGTAGCATGTGAATTATAAACTGGAGTTTGTGATACTGTTAGCGATGAGCCTGTAGTACAGCTTATCGTGAGGACGGCAAAGTCTGAAAGACTCATGCTGGAGAAGATAAGACCTTATTTCAGTTACCTATCCTAAAACAATCAAAAAAAAACGATTGACTTCAAGACGAGCAAAATGACTCGCTTATACAGATTTAAGGACTCATCCCTGCAGCTCTCTATTGGGACGCAGCCACTATGGCTTATCCTCCGGTGACACCCGCAAGCCAAATTGTCAAATATTTGGCTTCCTAGTGGTAAAGACGTGCAAATAGAAAGTTGTCTCCACCGCTTTCATTCAGTTTTGCACTTTGCTTCACAAGGCTGCCATTGTTTCAGGGCGCTCGGGCAGCCAGTCCTTGTTTTTAAAAGGCTCCTGTAAATCCATAGTGTAAAGGATTATAGCCGTCGCACTGGGCAATCTGGTTATAATTATAATTCTTGCTCCACTGCCACTTAGATGACTCCTCATGCATCTTAAAACTCCTCCTGTCCGCATGTCGAAGTGTCCTTCTGCTTCACAGCGGCCCACTGCTCCTAAATGCTTAGCATGGGTTAAATGCAGAGGTCAAATATCATGTATGTACCGACATGTATATGACAATTGTAATAAAGTTTAAGGTTTAAACCAAACTGTGTATGTACAGCCGAGCTTGTGGGTCTACAGGTTTGGTCACTGGCTTCACTCCAGGGAAGATGTGCCTTTTGTGTTTTCTCTAAAAATAAGGCTTTGCTTGGCTATTGTTGCTGTGTACACACACACACACACACACACACACACACACACACACACACACACACAGTTGTTCCCTTTACCCCAAAGGAATGCAATTTAAACACTGTAAGGCCATGTCTGGGGGAAACAAAAAGCAAAAATAAACATGAGGTTTCATTCTTGACTTTTTGAGAAATTGAGTCTCAACTCCAGGTGCACTTGCAGGCCTTTTTCCAGAGCTTTTGACCGCACCTCACCGCCATCATCAACGGATGGTGTGTGTTTGTGTTGGCTCAGTGTCAACACACAACACACTTAAGAACTACTGAGCAAATGATCCATCTAAAAGGGACAGATCGGACACTTTCCTGGGCCGTTGCTGCAAATTGTTGCTTTTATTATTGTTCCCTATAGAACAGTTTTTTACTAACAGAGTATCTATATTCTATCAACGCATTTGCAAAGACAAAAGAGTGCTTCAACTCAACCTATAAAAGAATATGAACTCATTATTCAGTAAAATAAAATCTGTTTTGTTCGATTTTTTTTTTTTCCCCCACTGTTTTGACCTCATGGAATAAAATACAAAGCGAGGTGTCAGTTAAAAATGTTGCATTAGTTTAAACCGGTGCGATGAACATATTATAAGGGCTCGTGAAAAATGAGGCGGGTTTGGAGAAGGAAATGTTGCATATTGACTCTCAATTGTACGACCTCATAAGGGGCCAGAGGGCTCCACTGGAAGCCTTCATTGCCTTTCCTCTTCAGAGAGAGAGAGAGAGAGAGAGAGGCCCAGTTAAGTCTGTGGCTTTGTGTTTTATGAAAAGAGTTTAAAAAAAAAAAAAGGACATTAAAAGTCAGCATTTTCCACCAGGCAAGGGAACCGGTCGACGCACACACTTGCACCGAGTCCCCCAGCCTCCTATTATAAGGCTGAGTGGAGAGGAGGAATGGCAGCCGGATTGTCAGTCGAGGTGGCTGGAGTCTGACAGAATCTATCACGTGATTACACAACGCTGCAGTATCGTTATCTTCTTTGTTTTTGTTACATGTTTTTTGTATCTAGTTAGCCATGTGACGGAGTTTGTGAAAGTGAAGCAACAAGGACAACTGCGACATCAAGAACAAACAAAACACAGGATAATAAGCTTACGTGGTGTAAAAGAGTTCGGCTTTGGTGTCTTTCTTTTATCTTCGTAAAGCAGAAAAAAAACTCACTTTTTAAAAGCTCAAAAAACACAAGCCTCAAGTTTAGCAGGTTACCTTCCTGAGTGATGGATGGTGATTATCTCTTACTGGGACGAGTTCGTCACTTTGTTGTGCTGATTGACATGCCACAGCTGAGGGAAGTACGCCTCAGTGTGTGCACACGTCTATTGTGACAGATAAGGCGTGAAATATCTGTGTTGTACATACCACAATGTACAAAGCATGCATGTGGATAAGTGCTCCGTGCATGTGTGTGTGTGTGTTTTATGTCAGCCAAAAAAAGAGTGAGTGTATCACTATTATGAACAAGTTTTCCGTTGTTGGCTTTATTTTTGGAAGGTGTAAGAGAGAAATCACAAGTATAGACGGCAATAAATCAGCTTAATTGTAGTTTTTGGATAATTACCCTTGTATATGATCATTACAAGCCCTGTTCCATAAACTTATTTTTATGCGCATTTTGAAGTATCTCATTTAGGAAATCTGTATGAAACAGCAAGATCCCATAGAAATCCTTTGTAGAAGAAGAGTTGATGCTCTAAATGAATTATGGAAACGCCTTTGCCGGATAAATTCTGACGTAGCGAACGTTTAACATGACTGATCAGCAGTTTCCACGATTGGCATCTTCCCCGATATATTTATACTCTCTTCGTCTCCACACAGCATGAAATGAAACGCATGAAGGAACAATTAAAAAAATTCCTGAAGACCCCGCAACTTGTTTTGTGTCCGGTTTGCAACCTCCATACTCTAATTACTTTAATTATCTGAACTGTGTCAGAGGCTCTCTCATTTCTGTGATTGTCTTGGCAGGCTATACATTTGTGGTTTTGTGTAGTTTGTGTGTTTACTCTCTTGTTTTTGTTTTTCGCTTTTCCCTCCAATGGGGTTCCCTTCCTTCTCTTGCTGTCTCCTCCCTCTCTTCCTCCCTCACTCCTCCCATCATCTTCTCCCCACTGAGACGAGAAAACAGCTGCAGATGGGTGTGTGCGTGTGTGTGTGTGTGTGTGTGTGTGTGATTACGATTACTTGTTGCTCCAAAGAATGTTCCTGCAGATTAGACTCAAATACCAGAGAGATGCTTTGCAGCGAATGTAGTAAATTGAATTGTTGGTCTTTGTCTCGTCTGTCTTTCCACCTCCGTCCGTCCCCTCCATTTTCCTTCTTCTCACTCTGCAGTGTCATCGTTCTTTAAAGTCAAACCTAATCTCTGATGGGCCACCCTGGAGACACGGTGATTAGGAATTGTTATAATAGACCAATTTTCTGGGAATTTGCAGAACTCCAAAGCTCCAAAAGTCAGTTCTCCAACAAGCCGTTGCCAGTTCCTAAAAATAAGGCTGCGTCTCACATTTCCATCCAGTGTGACCTATATTGTCCCAGAAATTACTACAATAAACACTATTAATGTCATTTTAAGACCATTTTATACCTCTGGTTGTCCGTCCGTCCGTGCGACCTGTTCCCGTTCATCACGGGAACGCCTTGAGCTAATCTCTTCAAATTTGGTACAAACATCCAATTGGACTCAAAGATGAACTGAAGTTCAAAGGTCACTGTGCCCACACAAGATATGTTTTGGTCATAACTCAATAATTGATTTGCTGACAATTTCCCCCCCATCCTCTCCCAACTTAGACCTATATCCTCTGGTGCACCCCGCGGCCACATGCACACACACAAACACTATGGCCTGCTTCCTGTCGGCGGGGAGAGGCTGTTTTCACTGCAACTCCATTTTGGCGGAGAGAGCTAATTCCTCGTGTGTGTGTGTGTGTGTGTGTGTGTGTACACTCGCATGCTTTTAAACATGTTTGTGTCTCTGCCTGCCGCAGCTTCTGAACGTCTTTGGTGGCAGTTCAGGCACTTGCTGAAATCAAATCAAACTCATGTAATTTTTCGTGCATTATGCTCACAGGGTGGTTAGTCTGAGTTTGATGTGTACAGCGTACGGGGAGAAGACTGGAAGCGTGGCAGAGATGAAGTCTTTACTGCGTTTGTATGAACTTGTACAGCAGCCATCAAAGCAGTGCTGGAAACGTTGTGTCGGAAAAAATAAATATATTCCAGACTTCAGAATCTTGTTATGTGCGATTATGAATGTTAAACAGAAGGATGCTGACAAAGCATTTTACATGCTGAGCAAACCTGTTTCCTGGACTAACAAACTAGTGGGTTTCTGAATGTTTTGGATATTTTTTAAGGGACTTTCTTTCCCTCATGCCAATTCATCGTAGTATATGTGAACAAAAACACAAAAGCGACACAAAAAAAACATGAACAAAAATACTAGATATCCCGACGGAAAGAGTAACATTAGCAGTTGTCGTCGGTTTATTACTTGTTTCTTAACACAGTTCAGAAATGGAAAAGTGCACAAACAAAATCAAGGCCTCAGTAGATGATCATATCTTAAGCGGAGGCACACACACACACACACACACACACACACACACACACCTGTTATGACTGTCAACAGTGTTGTCTGAAGCCATACATTCCTGAACCCTCTGTGTTTTAATGCTACAACTACCAAGGTCAAGCTGCAAAAATCAGACCTTAAGTGTCTTTGGTTCATATACAGTGACCCTTGACCTCTTATGCATCATTTTTATCATGGATGAAATTGCATGTATGCTAACATAGCACATTCTATCCTGGTCTACACTGACAGAGCACAGACTGCCCATTTCAAGATGTAAACAGTCAGCTCCTCGTTACCATCAACAAGTCGTAGTCGGGGTTAAGGCCTTCAATCACTGCAGAGTAAACACTACGCTCCCACACACTGGGCTCACGTACACACTCTCAAACACACACACACACACATTGGCATAGAAACGCAACATACATGCTTCATCTCACATCTCAGCAGGATTTTCTGTAATTTGAGGGAAGACGTCGAGACTACAGATAATATAATGTTTCATTAACCCTGCATCACAGTTGTTTATGCTATTTCCTTCTCTCAGTTCCTTTCCTTCTCAATACAATAATGAAGACTGCATATACAGTATGCTTCTTTTTTTTTTTTTAAGGTCACAAATAATGCAGCAAAAATGTTAAAACTGTCTAAAGACAGATTTACTTATTACTTTTATTTTTCTTATCTTGCCCTTCGAAGCTAAATCAAAACTCAAATTAATAAAACAGCACAAATTTAGTTATTTTCCTTTAGAATCATTTACTTAAAGTGAATCCAGAAAAGTCAAATTGGTGAATATAAATATGCTGTCGGTATCTGTACAGGTTTTTACAAACATTTGGTGATGCCGGTGACCTGTGTGTTTGATATATGCTGAGGACACACATGGGATTCATCTTTCCTGTATATGTTTGTGTTATTAAAGTATTGCATATATGTCGCTCCCGACAGATCCCTTGCACGTGAAGGACCTCGATCCGTCCCCGACTATCAGCCTGCAAACCAGCATAAACACACAAGCATTGCACATTGACAATTAGCCAGTGAGCAACGCAGACAGCCGCAGAAGCAACCTGTGAGATATTTAAGGGCAGCCATGTTGATCATCTTAGCCTTCATCCTCCTCTTCCACGTGGCCGCAGCCATCCTCCTCTTTGTTGCAACCATTCACAACGTGAGTACCAACCAAGAACGATCACGCAACGCAGCATGGGACATGTCCGTCATTTTAACCATCTACGTGTCCCTCCCCGCTGTAGGCCTGGTGGGTGGTGTCGCCAGTGGGACTCGATGTGATCTACGCCGACCTGTGGTACTCCTGTAACTCCACCTGCTATCCTGTGGAGAACAGCCACACTGTTGATGCAGGTGAGACGGTGTGTAGCTATGTAGCGTGCGTACTGTAAGTGTTGCATTTGTGTATGTAACAACCTTCTTTCTCCTATCTCCTCAGCCTTTCTGCAGACCGTCCAGGCTACTATGATTCTGGCCACCATTTTATGTTGTGTCAGCTTCTTCGTCTTCATCCTTCAACTCTTTAAGCTCCAACAGGGAGATAGATTTGTTTTCACTGCTATTATCGAGCTGCTGGCCTGTGAGTAACACACACACACACACACACACACACACACACTCACACACGTAACTTTTCACTGCAGCTTTTGTGAATGCTGTTTCCAGTGCAGTGTGGTTGTTGTGGTAAGATTCATGTCCAGACATTTTTGAGGTTGGATAACCTAGAATGTGACATTTTAGCCTGTGACTTGAGAGCATACGCGGGGCTCGGGACGATACTTCAAACTTCACAATTCAACATCAGCAAAAGTCCCCAAACTCGGGAACGTCTTTTCTTTTAAACGAAGTGTACTTGAGTTGTATTCACACTTGATGTGCATTTATTTTTAGATCAGGACCAAGTTGATTCCCAGCGTTCTGAGTGTTGGGTAAACCCTTTAAACTTTAACTTTCCACACATTGATGGAAAAATAGCATACTCTCATTGTCTTGGTATTTAGTTTTTATCCAGAGGAAAGTCATCGACTGACCAAAAGACTTGAAATGGAACATATTGTTCACTTTATTGACGTCAACTACGTCTGAAGAAATACTGTTTCATTGTACACTATTCGTTTGAAGAAATTACAGATCTCAGTTTTACAGCAATGTGATCTACCTCAGCAATGCACAGTTTGCTGTGGGGAAAGCTCTCAATAGGACAGCCCTCTCAAACTGGAGCTGACTGTTAAACCGAGTCTGCGTCACCTTTGGACAGAGACAGGCTAGTCGTTTCCCCCTGCTTCCAGTCTTTGTGCTAAGCTAAGCTAACCTGCAGCTGGCTGTAGATTTATATTGAAGCGGCAGATTAGAGCGTGGCATCAATGTGATCATCTGTGTCAAACTATTCCTTTAAGTGGCACCAGACTGGCTGCAATATTTCATAGTTAGAAATGAAATTCCTTCCTCGGCTATCGAGTGTAATTTCCATCCTCCTCTCTCCTCCTCTCAGCTCTGTGTGTTATGATCGCTGCGTCCGTCTACACGGCTCAGAACAAGAGCTTCCATGTGGCGAGTCTCCGGGAGGGCTCCTACGGCTCCTCCTACATCCTGGCCTGGATCAGCTTCCCCATGACTCTCATCAGCGGCCTCATGTACCTGGTGCTCAGGAAGCGCAAATAGATGTGACGGGCACGCAGATATAAAATGAATATAAACAGGAACACTTGGACACATGCATAAAGACGTACACTTTTCCTCAACAAACATGCATGCACACAGTCTGTCTGGATCCCTTAGATTTATAATAACATATGAGAAAAGGACTAATCCACATTCATTTCAGTCCAGGCAATTCACCAATAAAGTGTACAGCAACACGTTTTTTTCCACCTCACACACACACACACACACACACACACACCTTTCTCCCTCCTTATGGTATATTGTTCTCACTGAATGTGGCAAAGAAAACCCAGTGTGTTCCCTTTGACAGGCTGTATTATACACTTTGTTTCCAAGATAAGTTCCTCAGAAACACTGCTGACAGACTGGATAAACCCACTGTGGGTTGGGTGGTCTTTGTTTTTGCATTACAGCCGCTAAAACATGGAAACTGGAAACATTTGAGTTGAGAAATGCACCGTGATTGACATTTGATCTGTAGTTTTTTCAAGTTGAGGTCAAATCTCTTCAATGCAAATGCAGATCAGCCTTGTTGCATTCACCCGTCGCTCACTGTCTCTGCATAGAAAAGGCCCCTGAGGCTCCTTGCTGCGTTTAGTGAGAACATGCCTTCACTATCCTCTTCCTGCTTTTCTCCTCTGCCATTACACAGGACATGAGCACTGTTCCAACATACTGATTTGTCTCCTCCACATTGTTTCGTTGTGTCCTGCTTCCTACCAACACCATTCATAGGAGCCTGTCTGAAGATATTTGATCACAACAGATAAAAGTTGAAGACAAGTGGGACAATGTGTCTAATGCAGCCCCTGGACTTCCCAAAGGGTCCGTGCCTTCTTTGTGAATCTACAGTCAATGGAATTTATTTTGTACATATTTGCTGTGTATGTATAGTTCAAGTAACTGTCAAAATTGCTTATTTCTAAAACTGTATGAATAAAAGGAAAAAAAAATTTGAAAATCTTATGCATTAGTGTAGTGAAGCACTAGTTGAGGTTTAATATGTAGGACTTTCATTTGTTGTATTCTTCTGTTGCTGACTTGTTTTTAATGGTGAAAAAGGAACCAATGATGTGCTGTGATATTCGGGATTTCAAATGACAACATAACATGCAAACTTGAAAATATGAATGAACATTTCTTTATTGTGTTTTTTTTTTTGTTTTGTTTGCATCTTCACTGAGAAAAAGACTAAAGCTATTTATCGTTTGAAACCACTGTTGTGTATTTTAGCCTCATGTGACTGAGGATTTATGAAGTAACTAAGTCTTGCCGTATTTTCTTCCCTTTTTGGCCGTGCTTCCGTTTATTTGGTCCATTACTGAAACATCTGGAACACCCTATGCACATGTGTGCTCTGGCATTTTACAACAATAAATGTGTAACTGTACTGTACCTGCCACAGATTCCCAGAATTACTTCTAATTCTAGTGATACTATTTGATCCCCCTGTGTAGACGCTTTTCCTCCTCCTTGGTGTTGGTTTGGGTGTTAAACAGTAAATTGAGAGCAGCGGGGTATTAATGCATGCAGCTTGGACTTAATTGTTCCTTCAGAGTTGCACTGGGTTGTTTCGTGATATGAATCTCACCAGTGCTAAAGATACAGGGAAGAGAAATGGAAGTGCAGATTTTGCTCTCAAGACGATACTTGAAAATGATCAAAAGAACATATTGGAGGCCAAGATTGTGACGTTTGTTTATAGGTTTTTATGAAGTTGTCATCTTAAGAGTTTTGCTAATTAATAAGCCTCCTGTTTGCATGCAAATGTTTGTCTTTCAGCAGATTTTTAACCTACATTGAGATGAAAAGGAAGTTGATGCAGTAAATTAGGCTGAAGAAGATTTTTTTTTTTTTTTTTTAAGTGAAATATGGTTTGTTAGAGGTAATTTAAAGTTTGAATCTGTTTAGTTTAACTTTGGTGATTATAAAACAAATCTAAATTCAGAATACTTCTGTGTGAACCCCGTTAAACAGAAACCACAGTTATCACCTCTAAGTGAGTTATCGGAGCCCTTATGATTTGGAATTGGAAATGTTTTGTTTTAGGATCGTGATCATTTTTCTGTAGTATTTCTCTGTAGTATTATATCAATGTAGATGTTCTGTATCTTAGTCAAAGTAGATCTATACAAGTACCCACAGTGACAAATGAGCATGTGAGCTGTTGAAGCCCAAACTGTATTTATGGGGAATCTTTTTTTATTTGTATTTCTTTTATTTCTTTGCAGTTTCAATATTTCTAATGCTTAGTGAAGTATTAATTCAACACTGATTGAGAGTCATGTTGCTTTATTATGGAGACATGTTAAAATGGTCAATGTTTGAAGAACTTAAATTAAACGGTTTCTTTTCTTGCATACAATTCATCCAAAAATGTTCATTTTGTTAGTTTTAACATCGGTTAAATGGGGGTGTGTCTGCTTGTTTCAGGCCCCTTTGCTTTTACTATTTTAGTCAAATAATTTAACATGCAATTAATGTTGACATCTGTCGTAACATCTGTCCAACTCATGGATTCATATGTCATCAAACTAACATGTTTGTCTGTTACTGACACCCAGTGGACGGATAGAACACTACACACTGTTTAGGTGATAGTTTTATGGCTTCAGCCTGCAGAATAGACGGCTACAAGCTGCTGTCAATCACTCCTGAAAAGAATGAACTTGATTCTGCTGCTGAATTCTGCTGCTCTAATCTCAGAACAACATACTGGGCAAACTTCCAACAGATTCAGGACCAAAGACTCATCTCCCCTATGAGAATATAAAGGTGCTCTTTTTCCCCTGTTGAATCCTGTTGATCCATCAGATAGATCTCAATAAATGTATTTTACGATGAATAAATTCTCTTTGTGTGTGACATATCTGTCATTGAGTCAAGTATCCATCCATACTCATTATACATAGTGTCTGCTGGCCATTTTACACCACCTCCACTTGCTTGCAGAAAGATCAATATTTCGCTCTCTTGCATGCTGCAGTGCAAGATTACTGCTTTCTATATCTTTATATTCAAAAGATAAAAAATAATCTGGGGGAAGGAATAGTCATCCATGGCAATTACACTGTATGTAATGCGATTCAATTGCTACAGTAATGAGGAATGTTACTATTTATGCCACCCTCTTTACGTCACCCATGATGTTATCGCTGAACTCTGCTTGTTTGACTTGTATTAGTTTGTTTCTGCACTGTACGTTTGCTCTGGTTTATGCTCTTAGATGCTTGTGTAAACAAGGAGATGCACGTATGACTTCTGGTGACTAGTAGTTCTCTTGAATACCTACGTTGAATACACTTATTGTAAGTCGCTTTGGATAAAAGCGTCTGCTAAATGACTGTAATGTAATGTTTATATTTTTATCATGTCACTGTTTTGAAATGTTGTGAAAGTCTCCAGTGATGTGCCAAGTATGGAAAAATAATTATACAATAGTACCGAGTGAGTCCCATAATACTGAATACTGAAACAAGAAACATTGAGTTTGTCTTTAAGATATTTATTCTCTGGCCAGAGAAGGCTTTCATCGTCATACAGACTGCAGTTTCTGAGATGCTTATAAGCATCTCAGCACACAGGGTGGGGGAACATCAGGTATTTACATTATCACAATTGATCAGCAGTTTCAAGCTCCCCATTGACCCCTCCATCTGTCTCTATTACCCTTGATTACTACTGGGAACATTCTCTGGTTAAACTGCACCCCCATTGAGTTACTCCCTCTTATCAAAGCAAAGGCGCGAGATACCCCATATGGTCCTGTTACCACTCTCCTAGGTACACAATCATATGTCACATTTATAGTTTTGTTAATGAGTAAGGCACATAAACCAAGTCACAGTAGAAATGTACTAGCACAGGGACAATTTTCTATCACACAAGATATTCGGAATAGCCTATACTATTAAAAATACACACACACACACACACACACACACACTTGACAAACATTTTGCAGTCAAAAAAACTTATTTTAATTTTACACAGCTACACACACAGTATGATCGTAAAGATACGTGTCAGGAAGACTATTGACATCTATTTGCTTAGTTTCAGAGCAGACTTTGCTTTTCTTTAATCTAATTTCTCAATATTTTCTCAACATCTTTTGAAGACGACGCTTTTATTCTGAAGAAACTGAGCCGGAAGTGCTACATATTTCGGTGGGCGGAAGTTGAACGTGAAAGCTCCAGCAGGTAAAGTTAACATGTTTTATTAACAGACAGCAGTTAGACGTTTTTACCTTGTTGCATTTTAAATCTTTTGAACGTAGCAGCTGTATGGTAGCTGTCTTGTACGCTAACGTTAGACAGCTTACTCTTTGCTAAATAGAGAAATATTTCGCTGAAGCTAACTTACAGTTTAGCTAGCTAGCTAACCCAGTGAGTACCTTAGACTATCGAAACAATAGAGCCACTAATCACTATCATTAATTCTGCAACGAACATCAATAGCGAGTAAAATATGAAAGTGAATTGATTTATAATTAGTTATCCTGCAAATAAAACAGTGTATTATTGTTCTTTGCATGATACATTGCTCTTTTATCTAACTTTTGTGTCTCTGTTGATATTGCAGTTATAAAGCCTGGTAGACTCATTGATCGATACATCACAATACATGCTCATATGATGCAGGAGTGAATAATAGCACACAGTGTTATTCTCCATGTTGTGTGTGTGTGTGTCAATAAGGCTGAAACTCAAAGCATGTTGATATGCAGTTTGTTTTGTAGAAACGTATATTCGTAAAACTAAAACCCCAATGCAGAGAATACATTTCATACGTAATTGCTTCCTTTCTTTTGGTAAACGCATATCTGAACAGTAGTGGGTTAGGGTTACAAGAGTGTGCCATGATATTGCTATTGTTGGCAACATGTTGTACAATATTTGCACTGCGTCGCATCATAGAGAGCTCTGAAACAAAGAGTTCAATAATGTAGGAGTGAAACAAAAGCAACCGACTGTTATTTATGGACTAACGACTGTGTCAGCCCCCCTAACCTCACCTTTTACTTTCCCCTAACTTAACAAAACTGTGTATATTTTGTCAATCATATTTTACGTAGTCATATCTTATGCATATTCATTTTATGTTCTCTGTAATATTGTGAAACTAAACTACACAGCTTTTGTCTCGACAGTACACCGCTGTAGAACATGGCAGACCACACAGGCTCAAAAAGACCAGCTCCAAAGAGGAGAAGGCCTCCCAACAAAGGCAAGAGCCACAAACAACACTCTCACGTGCAAAAAGAGACTCGCGTGACCATTGGATTGGCCTTTGAAAGGTGGCGTGAACTGAAAACAACAAATGGATTGAAAACTGATGCAGAGGTGGCCCTGAGTCTGCTGGATGTGTGAGTTAACTTCCGATAGCTTCATGTTTGCAGAACCGCTTCATACATGTTTGCAGCATGCCAGTTGCCCCCCGCGGCTAATCTCGTTAGGAGCAGGACCGGTCAGGCAAATGGTTGCAGAGTTGCATGAGAGATGGATCTGAGGGGATGGATCCTCTGAAAGTCTTGTGAAGCTCTGTGCTGGCAGGGGAGAAAGTGTGTGTCGTGGATTGCGTCTGTCTACACCTTTCCCCGGGTCAATAGAGGAAGCTAGCTGCCACAAGAACCGTAGGGGACCGATGACCATTGTAAACGCAGGAAATGGTGAACATTGAGTAACGCTTGAAGCTGAATGATAAATCGCAGCATTGTTCTGCCCCCTGGTTGATCCAGTCCTTACATTGTTATACAAAAAAACCTATAGGCTCAGTAAAGCCCTCTATACTCTACAAACCATATTTTATAAATATGCACTTTCCTCCGTGTGTGTAAGCCACAAAACAGTTCTTACTTTTTTACATCACAAAGGAATCTAACTGGGACACGTTGTTTGTTTTATGCGAGCTGTAACCTCATCACTGCATGCTGTTCATGCAGTGTTTTGAAAGTAATTTAATAACTTGCTTGTCGATCCGACAGCTGTTTCAGAGATGTAGAGATGTAGTGGGAGCATGTAGTGAGACAGTCGAGTGTTTAAAGGGGTAGACCATCCAGCACAATCAAATCTCTCTTACCAGCTTTGCTTTCTTGCAGACATTGAACTCTTCCTCATTGCTTTTTTTTTTTTACTGCGTCTAATGTTTGTTGCTCCAGCACATTTTTCTTCTGGTCGGTGCTTGTACAACTTAACGCTAGCGCTGGAAATCTTCCTCAAAACCATTCTCTGTGTATCCAGACAGCAATCATTGAATCCATTACAATCCTGTCCAATCACTGCATCCGGCCTGAATGTATTGATTGGCCGGCCTACCTGCCCGGGGGAGCGTTGGAGAAAGAGTTGGCAACACTGCTCTGGGTTTTCCCGTTGGATAGTTTTTAAGATCTAGCTTACACTTGCTCGTGAATATTGACATTCTGTTTGTCTGAATGTCTGCCTGCAGAATGCAGAGGTCGCCCGCCTCCAGCCCAGCTTCCTCTGGAGCCCCTGCTAAGAAGCTTAAATTCTCCCAATTGGAAGTAAGAGACCCTATTTTATGATTATTAAATGCATTTACTGGATTATAACTATAATCTGCAGTTACTGAATGCAGCGCTTCCATAATGCTTGTGTGTGTGTTTTATTTTGTGTGTTTGTGTGTCCGCAGGTGGAGACGCTGATCGAGCAGGAGGTTCACGCCGCAGTGCAAAAGAAAGAAAGCAAGCTGCAGGGTTTAATAGAAACTATTCAACAGCTGGATCGGGCTGTCGACTATTCAAGCTCCATCCAAACGCTGGAGGTCGGTGGACGTAGTGTGCTACACGTTAGACTGATACTGCAGGGACTGACAAAGTTTCCCCCCAAATCAACACCTTTATGGGAGTTAGGCAGTGGGGGACTAATACACTGCTAATTTGAATTTTATTTCTTCTTATGTATGCACGTCTGACGTTCCTTCTTTTTCTCTCCTGCCCTAATTATTTCATTCCTTAATTTCTTCAAACTGTTTTAGATTCGTCTCTTCTCTTCCCTCTTCTTCTCTCGTCTCTAAATTTGACAGCTGCTGGTAAATCCTCGGAGCATCCATTCTTCTGCTGTCTAAATCTGTTGTTCATTGTTCATCATCAGTTTTTTTACCCATTAGATTAAAACCTCTTGAACTGGACACAGATGCTTACCATCATAACATTCACCTTTTTATGCACATGTTTCTTAGTCTGCCATTTCTTTTCTCTTTAAAGTAAAAGAGACAAACGTGAATATCTTGTGCGTACGTCTCAAAGGCACATTGGTGATGAAGAAGATCTTTAACCCAATAAATCTTTACAGAATATTCCTCTCTTCCTCAGGCTCGAATTAACACGGTAACCAAGAGAGCAGAAGCAGCGATCGCCTTCATGACGGAGGAACAGAAAAAGGTTTGATGCACACAAACACACGAATTAATGCAGTCGATGCATATGTATGGACTGACATGCATGTTCAGCGTCAAAGCTGTTTTTCACTCATGCATTTAGATTTTTCCGGAGATATGCCCAAACACAATATATGAATTGTTTTAACTTAACTGGTAACTTAAGGTAGAACATATGATAGATACACTCCATAATAATGTTCAGTTTGAGATGCAAACACTGTTTATGTGAGCGTAACGAATGCGTAACGAATCTCTCAAAAACATTTGCCTTTCAGAGCCCAATGCCATCTCTCGTTAACGTAAAGACCAGGTATGTAGAAGCAGGTCCAGGTGGATCAGTGCGGTGTGATAGTTCAGAAGGCTCTGATGGGAATTATTACCTTTTGTTTTTATTTGCGTTTGATTGGATGTCCATCTCTGCAGGGAGCACTCTGAGGATGAAACCCTGGAGGCCGAGTCACAGAGTAAGAGCCTAGCGGGCGGGTGCGCTAAAGAGTATTTGCGTTTGTGGGTCGCATGAGTATTCATTATATGCAATTTTATTTTTCAGCTGACATGAAGAGCATGGACGAGAGCGGAGAGGTCTTTGAAGCGATGGTGAATATGCAGTTATTTAACTTGGAATAATCAGCTAAATAAATCTTAAGAATGTCTGTTTAATCAGCACAAAGCTATCTTCACAAAGGTCTGTTAGTTGTAGTTTGGACAACAGTTATTTAGCAGAGTTGAGGCTTTGATGTATTTTGTAGTCTTCCATGTACGGAGAGAAGATTGTTCATTTGCCTTTGAAAGTTGTGTCTTGAACTGTTCTGAGTTAACTAGACATGTGCTGTCAACATTGAGCTTAAGTTGATCGATCTTTTCTGTCCAGGAAAACACAAAAGAGGCCCTAAAGAAGATGCAGGCTGATAACGAAGGTAATGTATACACACACACACACACACACACACAAAGTGGATGTTTGAATAGCTCAAGTTTAAACGATGTAATGTAGCTTCTGGTGACACGATACCGCCTTGCAGTGAGAAAAAGGGACACGATAAGCTGTTCTAATGACCCAAATTAAATAATATGAGTCAGTGAGTACATGAATTAATAACCACATGCTTTCTTCCACTCTTCCCTGTCCCTTCCTCTGTTACTTGTCATTGCACATAATCCATGTTAAGCTTTGACGGGTGCCATAACGGATTTAAGTGAGGATCTGTCTCCTCCGGTTCTAACCCCTTATGGTTCTCCAAAGGGTAAGGTAAGGTGTTTGTATTATTGATATCCATCCTCTTCAAAACATTCCACGCATAAATATGTTATGTGTCGCTAATGTCAATTTGCATTTTTGTATAAAACCCTACATCCCCTTTTCTTTTTGGCTTTGTTTTCACTGTTGATGTGTATTTTGTGTTGTGCCTTCGTTTACCGACGGTGTTACGTTGTGTGTTGTTGGAACTTAAGGTAAAGAAAGAGCCAAAATATAAGCAGGAAATACAGAACAATGTTGTGGAGCTCACGCAGCGCGAGGAACCGAAGGCTGGGCCGGTGAAAGTGGAAACCAAGCACACAAACTCAGAGCGGGTAATGCTCACGCTAACCCACGTTTGTAATTCACTTGACTGTTTGCTACTCTCATTAACCTCCACTGCCTCCTTTTGACCCCAAGGACAAGGTCCTGTATCCCCCTCTTCCCTCCAATCCCTTCCCCTCCACCCTGAACATGGAAGCGGCCAAGTACAACATCCCCCAGATTCTACAAGTAAAAATGGCTCTCATCAGGAGACCCCCTGGCCTCTCTGTGCTCTGGTCAGTGGAAGAGAAAGACCCATCTAGGCCACCCATGGATATTTACAGGTGAGAACTATCAGAGGTTGAGACATTCTGGGTTCAGTAGGCAGCTTTCAGCCCTGCGACTCACTGGATAAAATCACCTTTACACAATAGTGTAGTTATTTACCATTGAAGGGACTGCCTCTCTTTCACAGTGTTTGTCCCATTCCAATGGCTCCTCCAAATGGACACGCATCAACACATTGACGTCTTCAGATGTCTTGTTTTGTCCCACCAAAAGTCCAAAACCCCGACGTATTTAGTGCAGGACTATATATGGCAAAGGAAGCAGCAAACGCTGCAAATGAAGATGCTTAAACTCGAGAATTTGAACCATTTTAAGTTGCCATTAAAAGGCACAGAAACGGTTAATCAAGCATCAAAAGCATCGACTAATTGATATGTGGACTAATCGTTTTAGTTCTCGTAGAGTTGCATGACTTTAGATGGCGATATCTGACGGCTGTGCTATTGTTATGGAGTCTTGGTTCGTAAAGATCAACAGATCGTTGGTTGTTTGTCCCGACTGTTCATTTACATTTTCAAATTCTTCTTTAAAAAGATATAACCAACATATGTTTTTGGGAGTGTACCACACCAAGGCCATGTGGTCAAATTGAAATCATTTATTTAAAATGTGAACACAATGGCTGATTTCACTGGTCAATTGAATGCAAACTGTTAAAGCACCACTAGATGGCAGGAGCGTGCTTTACAACATCAGAGTGAGTTTCCTCGCCTGCAGAAATCACCCAAATCCTGTTCCTGTCCCAGTCAAATCTATCTGTTTACGATGCCTGCGAATATCTCCTTATTCGCTTGTTTCGATCGACTTTTGATTTTGAATCAAAATGGTGACGGCCGTACTCTCTCTCAACCAGGTTGGTTACAGGAGTGCTATCTTGTATCTGACTGAGAAATGTACTGGAAGCAGAGTTCAGTTCTTCACTGCAGCTCTCCTTGTCTTCTTAGTCTTTTTTGTAGTTGCTCACTTTTTCCTCATTCTGGTGTTCTCTCTCTCTCTCTCTCTCTCTCTCTCTCTCTCTCTCTCTCTCTCTCCATGCTGCAGAGTCTTCATTAGCGTGGAGAAGGAGAAGGGTAGCAACGTCTTCCCAGCCTGGACCATTCAGGTGGTGGATGCCAAAGACAAAGAGCCGCCCATCTGTCATGTGATCAACAAGTACCAGGCCGGGCGCAAGATTTGTGTCGCTGTGGTGGGCAAAGACGCGTTTGGCCGGTACGGACCTTACAGTGAAGTTGTGACCGTGTCCTTACCTGACTAGTTGGGAGGATACAAGCGGCTACTTCAAGAGCGATTCACCCGCTTTCCACATGAAACGCTGTTTACAAGTGCCTTAAGGTTGATAAAACGGAGCGCGGCCGGGAGGATACAGATGTGTTTTTTTTTGGGGGGGGGGTGGGGGGGTTGTTTTTGAAACGTCCAGCAATGATTACAGTTCTAACAGAAAGTAAATATCCATGTTTACGGCACTTCTTTCTCTGGTTGGTTGTGCGGCACTCGTGCAGATGTTGGTTATTAAGCCATAAATAAACAGTTTATTGTGAGATTCACTATGAAACAATTTTTAAAGGTCAAAGTTTTTGTCATGTATAAATGTTGAATTTTTTTTTACGAGCCATTAAAGTTGAAAGTGTTTGAATGTATGTTCTGTATGATGAATTTTTGGTTGTTTATAAAGTGAAAATCTCATAAAATTTGAAAGGTTTCTTGCTTCTTTCTGTTTCATATAATGAATCAAAGTCTCCTGGTCAGACTGAAGCATGTACACGTGTTATTACCTCACGGAGGATTGCTTTAACAATAAATGCTATTTGAATTAAGTTTGAGATTATTAAAAGTCTGGTGGCAATAGGTGCTCTTTGCCATCAACTACCTGATGTGGTGTGATGAATATGGCGATGCTAGTGTTTACACCGTAACCTCATAATCTCTGACGCGTTTTGTTTGTTGTCGCATATTTCACGACTCTCACCCGACACGTGCAGCGCATTGATCGTAAATGTAAAAGCTTAATTTTATGCTGGAGTTGGACTCTAATCAGATGCAGCCTTTGAACCAAGGATTTGTGATGTGCGACTCTTAACTGTAACTATAATGGAAGTAGGCTTGAATTTGAAATTTGCAAAGTACCATTGATCAGCCACCCAGCAGCAGACAGAGGGAGTTGTCCAGTTAAATCCAGCTGAGGCTGATGAAGCGGTTTTCTTTCAGGTGACACCACACAGCCTTTCCTCAGTGACGCTCCACGACAAACAATGCAAAGCTTTTATTTCACGTGTACATACTGAGCTCTGATTGTGCTCTTGGATGCCTTTCCAGATGTTTCCTTTCCCCCGCTTGATAGAGCTCTGCTTTCTTGCCAGCTGGCAGCAGTCAACAGTCTCCTCGCTCCGCAGCGAGGTCTCACATTCGGTACGTGTAAGCGAAGAAGACAGGACACAATCCCTATCGGTCACAACAGAGGCTGGGAAAACTCAGTCAAAATTGGAGAGACTCATGAGCTCGACCTTAAAGGGCCAGTTCTCCCAAATCACACAGTGGTATCCAGCCTGAGGTGATTAGCATCCAGTCGGCGTATGAATCCGGATCACAAGTTGGAGTCGATGTAAAGTTGATATACAGTGTGTCCTGAGCTGATACTTTGAGCTAAAACAATGTAAAATGAAGTGATTTTACTTGAATGTATTTGTTTGTGTGTGCATAATCTTTCAGATTTTGTGTGTATTTGTATACTTCTCATTGTTTTTGATTCCTTTTTTTAATTTTTCTATAAAGTCAGGTTTGGTCCTCCAGTTTTGGAGCCGACCCATTGAAGGTCTGTGACCATGTGCCGGAGTGCCTGTCCGATTGGCACAAGTTGACCTTTAATGGTCCCAGACCCGCCTGCAACCCTGAACTGGATCAGCAGGTATTATAAAAACACAGAATAAACCATAAGAGAAGTACAGAAAAGAGACTGAAAGTGTTTTTAAATGCAGGTCAGGTCTTTTGTTTGAGTGAGATCCAGTTTGAAATATCAAGCGATTCCATAGATTGCAAGCCCCCCAACTTAGTCCCCTGGTTCAGGACCACTGAAAAAAAGGATAAATCTGCCTCCTGGTAGGTGTGACCTGGATTAGCACCACCTTGAACACACATAAACTGTATGTAGGGTGCACCCCGACTAACTGGACTGTATCCAGACCAATCTAACTCTTATCTGATTTGAGTCTTGACCCAGGCCTTATCAGATCCTGGACCTGAATCATCAGGCAAGTTTAACCTGTTATATAACGGCAGTGGAAACTCAACAGAAAGACAATACACAGTGACTAAGGAGATCAAAAAAACATTAAAGCACTATTGACACAACTAAGGAAATATTTCTCTTGGACACTTTTTTTTATTCCCCCTCTAAGTGATGCAAAACTAAACTGTATCGTGGAATGACTTTACTTGTGGTGCATTTGTGGTTGTTACACTCAATACTTAGCTCCTCCCAATATATAATGAGGTGTACTTACCCAGGAGTTGGTTATTGTTTTGCGGGCGTTATTCTCTGGAGCACATAAGAGTTATTTTCTCTCCCACAAGCCAGATAGTGCGCATGTTTCTACAGCGACATTTGTGACATTTGGTCTGCTGTTGTGCTCGTGCTGTTTGCCAGGCACAGTTTGATATTATGCTGTGTATTAAGGAGTGGGAGTGCAACTGTAACGGGAGCCATTAGACCCACATCGAATGCCCACTCGCAGCATCAGCAATAGTCTGTGTGTATGTGTGTGTCTGCCCTCGACCAGCAGGACCCAGTGGGGAACCACAGCGGAGTGATGGGCCTCCTAAGACCACTTAAAAACACAAACCCACAATCACACTGACACACACGTCCGGGCACACACAGTGACCTAATTAGAGCTGACAGCAGAGGAGAGAGAGCTTATGAAAAGAGGGTGAGGAAAAGGCAAAAAAAACAACAAAAAAAAGGATGGTGCAGAGAAGCTAGATAGAAAAAGCAGAGGTGGAGCAGAGAGAGTGATTAAGGAGCAAATGCGCTCTTTAAAGTTTTGAAGTGAAGTGTTGGCAGAATGGTGACCTGCTTCCTCAGTCCCTTCCCTCCTGTAAAATGGATGATGTGTAGGGAATTACCCCTTTCATAAATGTGCGCTTAAAAACTCAGGTCTACTTGTCATCTTAATTTTGTGAGGGGGGGATAGTAAGTAAGTAAGTTTTCTGCCTTTGTCTGTCCCTTGGTGATGAAGGTCCATATTGTCGGTGTACCCTTCAGTGCTGATATGTTGGCTCACGACATTCTTACCCTCCAGGCTTTGCAAAGGGCATGGCCACTGTCCTGGTGACTTGTAGGTATAAATAGAAACTTTTCTCTGCTCAAATGTTCAGATTTCAGATTTTCTTTAGGCGGAATGCCGTCCTGCCCCGCCAATTTGACAACAGCTAAGCTAACAGCTATGTTAAGTTAGCTGGCCCGTCCGCCTGCCTGTGCCATTGATGTATAAAAAGAATTAGATGCAGCGTTGGAGGCGGAGCCCCATTGTTTCCTATGAAGGCACCTTCATTTCTAAGAAATCTCTCTCGCTCTGGCATCTGCCTGCCCTCTTGATGTTTGGCAGCCAGTTAAAATCATAAATGTTACTGTGACCTGACTAATGATTGATGAATCTTTTGAAAGTTCTAAAAACAGTTGGCAGCACCAGTGATAATGTATTGGACTGTAAATGTGTCATATTACAAGGGTGACATAACAGTCTTTTTGTTGGTCCAAAGGGGCAAAATACTTTTTAGAGGTAGTTGTAAATCCATAATAAGATGATGAATTTACCTGCTGCCTCCACTAAAATATGCCCTATACCCTATGACAGATAAGACAACACAACCTACTTATTTTTGAATGCATATAAACAAGTAGTAGTAGTAGCAGCATTAAAACTATATACACTCTATGACAGCAGAGTTGCTAAGATCCTCAACCTCATGACAACATTAGCACAGAGGCCTGCTGTTAGTGACTGTTGGTGCGACACAAGACTAAAAAGTCTTGTTTAGTCAAACTTACTTTGTCACGATGTTTGCATCATCTGCCATTCAAGTCAGTTTTAATAATAATGTGTATTTTAGGAAGATAGAAACAGCTTTCTTTCTGAAGAAGACTAATCATTCTGCATCATGCATCATATAATCTTCATATATGCGTCAGTGTGAAGCCATGTGAAGCCAGTCAAGTTGTCAGTGTGGACTTATGTAAATATTTGTGTGTGTTTTTTAGGTGAAAGTGGTGTTGCTGTTACTGTCTGTTCTTGTATTTCTGTTAATAAGCAGTGCCATCATGTGTCTGTTTATGTCTGTACTGTAGTATATCACTTAGATCTTTGCAGCAACGGAAAATTCTTCTTAGTCCCACCCTAACCACCCACACCCACACACACACACACACACACACACACACACGCACACACACACACACACACACACACACACACACACACACACAGTTGGGTCCGCCCACCAAATATTTGGCTTCCTGTGCATGAGGAAAATTCCTCCACAGACGCTGAAGATACAACACAGTCTTGTTTCCTGCTGCAGCTTACATCAGGTAAAACAACGCATTTGAATCTATCTATGCCTGTTTGTGTGTGTGTGTGTGTGTGAAGATAGATGCTTTTTTACAAATGTTTTCTTCTACAATGTTTTAGAGTTGTTAAGAATAAAAAATACAGATCAAACTGACGCTGCTTTTACTTGCAAAACAAAACAAGTTTTGTTAATGTGTTAAATACGTAAATACGAAAAAATATATTCTGAAACTGTAACAAATCAAACACATTTTTGACCCAATATGTATCAAATTGATAATTACCACAAGATGGATGCGGATCAGAAGCGTCTTTTTACTTCCAAAGGCAGTGACGTCTATTGTAAAGCAACAACATAATGAAAGATGGTTTAGTTTGTCTGAGGACAGCGATGTTTAAAGCAGAGCATGGTATTGGTCCAAAGACAACTTGTTGATATTTAAATACTTTCCAAAGGGCAGATTCACTGAGCCAACAATAAAGAAAGCCAATGCTCTGCACTCAGGCAGGGGAAAATACAGGAAAATGAGTGGGACAAACCTCACTGAAACACACGATCCTGATTCGGCCTTAAAAGCGGAGAAAGGTGAGTTCAAGTTTATAGTTTATGGCGGCAATCTTGATTTGACTTGGTGCCAATCACAAAAACATGCACATGCTTTAGAGGCCATTCATCACGTGTTTGTTTTCTTTTTAAAAGAAGCCGACTGGGTGGACAAAAACCGGGCTAAGCTTATTCAGGATGTCATTTTAGTGATGCCAATAGCGGATAAGATGCTTCAGCAGAAGATAATGCAGAGAGAGATGTACGACAACATCAGGGTAGCCCGGACCAGCCAGGACCAGATGAGGGAGCTCTACACGACCATCAGATGTGTACCAACCAAATCTGCTTTCTATAGAATCCTCCAGCAAATTCAGCCAAAGATATGCGAAAGTAAGTGAGGTCGTTCTGGTCTAAACATGATGATGATGTAATCTTTGTAATGATTAGTTTAGTAATACACCTACTTGTGCAAACATGTCAGCAACTATTCAGCCATAAAACATTGATCCAGGCATATTCTGTCTATTTGTGAGCATAGCTTGTAGATAAAAGTTGCAATTTTAATACGAATTAATAAGTTCAAATGCTGAAAACATTACTTCATCAAACATCACTGCACTCTTTCATTGCAGCAGAAGATGTCGTCAAAGAAGTCATCAACAAGCACAAAGAATATATGAGGGAAAAGTTCAGATATGAGTTTGAAGGCACTGAAGAAGATCATGAGAATATACAATCACTGGACAAGATTTACACAGAACTTCACATTGTACAAGGAGAGAGTGAACATGTCAATTTAGAACACGAGATCTGGGAGATTGAAGATAAGGTGAGGTGTCAAACAGCCGAGGACATTAAAATCAACTGCAATGACATCTTCAAAAGTACACCAGCAGATAGCGAGTCATCCGGGCATGACAGAAGGAAAGTGAAAGCTATCAGGACCGTGATGACAAAGGGAATTGCCGGCATTGGAAAAACTGTCTCCGTGAAGAAGTTCATCCTCGACTGGTCAGATGGGACAGCCAATCAGGACTTGGACTTCATCTTTGTGCTACCGTTCAGGGAGCTAAACCTGGTCAGTGATCAGCATAGCCTTGAGTCACTTGTGAGAGAATTCCATCCAAACCTTAACGACGTAGCAGTTGCCAGAATATTTGAAAATCACAAAGTTCTGTTCATTTTTGATGGTCTTGATGAAAGCCAGCTTGAACTGGATTTCGGAAAAACCGAGTTATTGACGGATGCCACGAAGAAATCGTCAGTGGACACTCTGGTGACCAACCTCATCAGGGAGCACCTTCTTCCCTCCGCTCTTGTCTGGATAACCTCCAGACCAGGACACATTCAGCGCATCCCTCGCAAACATGTATACAAGTGGACTGAAGTCAGAGGATTCAACGATCCACAAAAACAACAGTACTTCAGGAACAGAGTTGAAGACAAGGCAGTTGCTGAAAGAATAATTGACAGCATCATGATGTCCAGGAGCTTATACATCATGTGTCACATACCTATCTTCTGCTGGATTGCGGCAAAAGTTCTCGAGTATTTGCTGCTAAAAATGGACAGAACTAAAGATGGAGACATAACGATACCCACATCTCTTACTGAGATGTACACACACTTCCTTTGCATTCAAATGCAGGTAACTACCAAAAAGTACGACAACCAGTACGAGTTAGACATAGAGTACATCATGAAGTCAAATGAAGAATTCATTTTTAGATTAGGCAGATTGGCATTTGAACACCTGATTGAAGGAAAAATCATATTTACTGGCAATGAACTGAAAAAATATGGCATCGACATACACAAAGCTGGACTTCGCAGTGGGTTGTGCACAGAGATACTCAAAGAAGAGAGCGTGTTCAACCGCAAGAAACTCTACTGCTTTGTGCATCTGACAGTTCACGAGTACTTTGCTGCTCTCTATGTGTACTGCAGCTTTGCAAGTAAAAAGATAGATTCTCCAGTCCTCAAAGAATTCCTGCTCAATGGGTCAGAGGAAGGGCTCAAGTCTACCTTGGATGCAGATCCAATTGATTTACCTTTGCCTGAGCTGATGGAAATTGCAATATCTAATTCAACGCCGAGAAAGACAGGAGAACTGGACATGTTCCTCAGGTTCCTTATTGGCATGTCCCTACAATCAACACAAGAACTGCTCCAAGGCTTGATTCAGCAGGAAGAGAACCACTCTGCAGCTGTTGAGGAAATTAGGACAAGTCTTTTAGAAATAGAGTTTGGGGACTGCTCACCTGAGAGATGTCTGAACCTTGTTCACTGCCTGATCGAGCTGAAAGACAATTCCCTGCATGAAACCGTGCACAAGTATCTAAAACCAGACCACAATCCAGAAACACAGCTCTCCTCTGTTCAGTGCTCAGCTCTGGCCGCCTCAATTCTGATGTCAAATACGCCTCTAGATGAATTCAACCTGAAGAAATACAGACCATCTGCTAAAGGTGCTTTTAGGCTTGTCCCAGCCGTGAGGAACAGCAGAAAAGCAAGGTGGGTTGGTTGCTTCTATTGTGGTATATCTGTATTGCATACAATCATTTTGTCACTTGACAATTTGAGCTGACATTTTTTAGCTGGCAGGTTTTTTTAATAAAGCACACACAAGTACACAGAATGCATCCCTGCACAAATGAATAGCATGCATCTAAAACTTGATCTGGTCTTGATTCTTTTTTTAATTTCCACAGAATCTCTGGCGTGTGGCTTGGTGTTTGGGGTTGTGCAACAATCTCCTCAGCTCTAAGAATGCATAACTCCGTGCTAACTGAACTGCACCTGATAAATAATTTCTTTGATGACAAAGGTGCAGAGATCCTGATTGATGGACTGCTAAACTCTCAGTGTAAACTAGAAGCTCTGAGGTTAGTAAAACTATTATTCTTATATTTAATATTTTCTCTTGTGATACTATTTGTCTTTTTTTCTGTTCTTTTTAGTACCTTCTAGATATGTATTTGTAGAAGCAGTGAAGTACATAAAATCATTTTGTCCTAGTTCAATAATTCTTTTTTTTTTTAAATTCACATTTTGTTTATAGCTTCTCAGGTAATGTAGGTTCACAACCAGTCTGCGAAAATATGGCATCAGCTATCAAGATCAAGTTCATCTCAAAACTAAGGGAACTGGAGCTGAGTGGAAACGCACTGCAAGATTCCTTATGCTCATTGCTTTCTGTTGGGCTAGACAGCCCTAAACTGGAGAAGCTCAGGTCAGTCTCAGACATGTTTTTCCCAAAAACATTGAAGTATGAATACAAGGTACATGTAACGTCTATGTCCTTTGGCAGAAACTATGTATTTGTTCAATAAAGACATTATCCACACCGTAGGAACAGCTGTCCTTCTAAAACAGTCATGTTGTCTTTGTATGAATACTTGTTGATAGATCATTGTTGTTAAAGCTATGTTACTGTAAGCAATATTTACCATATTGACACTGAATCAAATATCTGTGCAATGTAAAATTGTTTGTTAAACACCTCACTGCATACTTTTATGCAGCTGCTGTCAGTGTGCTTTGGATCACAAGTCAGTTTGGTCCGGCTGGAAAGTACATGTTTCTAAATTGAATGCCATTTTTTATCATCTCTGTACCAAAAGACTCAACAGAAATCCTGGTATTAGAAGAATCTGTGAGGAGTTGATGACGGCTTTCACATCCAACCCATGTCACCTGCGAGAGCTGGAACTGAGTTACACCAGTCTTGAAGACTCAGAAATGGAGATCCTCTCTACTGGGCTGATGAGCACGAACTGTTCTCTGGAAGTGTTGAGGTGAAACACTGCATTACGTTGCACATCAAGTCTCAATGACAGCTGCATTATCATGCAAATCCCAAAATCCAAACACAATAGATGTTAGGAAGTATGTTAATGGAAAGTATTATGTCTGACAAGGTGAATGTTGAGTAGAACAAACTAAATTGTATAAAGATAATTGATAAAACAACATGCTACACTAAGTAAAGGTTTTCATCTGTAAACATTTTTAGATAGACTATTAAGCAATTAAATGATATTCCTTCATTTGTCTTTCAGTCTCAGTCACAACAGGCTCACTGAGAAAGGCTGTGAGCAGCTGGCCTCAGTACTCAGCTCCAAATCTTCCCACCTGACAGAGCTGGACCTGAGCTACAATGACCTGCAGGACTCAGGAGTCATGGCGCTCTGTACTGCACTGAAGAGCCCAAACCGTTTGAAAACGCTAAGGTCAGTGTAATGAATAGCTCTGTTTCACTGGTGGACTCAGTAAATATAGCCCCTTGGTGCCCCTATGTCTAAATGAAGCGCCGCAAAAGTGCCCTTCAAGAAGAGACATCATGATAAAGTGCCTTCTTTGATACCCCTTCTGTCTCTAAAACATGATAAACTTCCCTAGAGTGTGCCTTTCCAGTGGAGAAAACATTATGAAGTACCCTCTTTTATGCCCCTGCGGTTGCTAAACCCCGATAAAGTGCCCTCGAGGGTGCCCTCCCCCAGAAAAATGATGATCAAGTTTCCTCAAGGATGCCTTTGAGAAAGCATAATCAAGCGCCCTCTTGGATTCTCCTGCGGTAGATTAAACATAATGCAGTGCCCTCTTGGATGCCCTTCCAGTGGAGAAAATGAGATGCAGTGCACTAATGGGTGTCCTTCCAGTGGAGAAAACATGATGAAGTGCGCTCGTGGGTGCCCTACCAATGGAGAAAACATGATGAAGTGCCCTCATGGGTGCCCTACCAGTGGAG